GGAGGCTGAGGCAGTCACAGCAGCCTGTTGCTGGCTTGAGAACCACATTGATAAACATATCTATGACACATCAGACATGCATATCTACAACTAGCTCACAGAGTATGTTCAGAAAGGTGGAGAGAGGTATGCTCCTTGCAGAATGGCAAGCATCGCTCCAGAAGTCCTGTATAGTTAGTGTCCTTTGTCTCCAAAAATGGTGAAACTATGGGGGTGACTGCAGTCAAGCTAATACAATGAATTCCAGAGAAATATGACTAAAAAGCTCAACAAAATAGGAAAAAGGAAAACGTGCACAAAACAACACAACGTAACGTTTCGACCGGGCGGCCTTTTTCAAACAGAAGTGGACTACACAAACGAGGAATGGAGAGTATGTAGATCTCTAAGGGGTGACGTGAGCGACGTTTAAAAAATGTGATGCCGAATAAATGAAATAAAATAAAATAAACGATGGCTAAAAAATATAGTCACAATACTGGGAATAAAAGAAATGCAAGTGTTAATGATACATAAATGATATTGATAAGAAATAGAATATGGTAATAATATGAAATAAAATAATTAACATTTAAAATGTAATAAGATTAGAACTATTTAGATGAAGGTATGTTGGATATTGATACCTCTTGGACTAAGAACGCCAAGGCTGTGGATAAGGCGATTTTCCAAAGCGAGGCGGGTAGTATGATCGCCAGAGCAAGATTTTAATGCTGTGACAGATATGTCATCTTTACCGCTGTGGTCAGGGCTATTAAAATGAAGAGGGATTGGTTTGAGTGTCTTCTTGTCGATATCAGAGAGGTGTTCCCGGAAACGATCAGAAGACACTCAAACCAATCCCTCTTCATTTTAATAGCCCTGACCACAGCGGTAAAGATGACATATCTGTCACAGCATTAAAATCTTGCTCTGGCGATCATACTACCCGCCTCGCTTTGGAAAATCGCCTTATGCACAGCCTTGGCGTTCTTAGTCCAAGAGGTATCAATATCCAACATACCTTCATCTAAATAGTTCTAATCTTATTACATTTTAAATGTTAATTATTTTATTTCATATTATTACCATATTCTATTTCTTATCAATATCATTTATGTATCATTAACACTTGCATTTCTTTTATTCCCAGTATTGTGACTATATTTTTTAGCCATCGTTTATTTTATTTTATTTCATTTATTCCGCATCACATTTTTTAAACGTCGCTCACGTCACCCCTTAGAGATCTACATACTCTCCATTCCTCGTTTGTGTAGTCCACTTCTGTTTGAAAAAGGCCGCCCGGTCGAAACGTTACGTTGTGTTGTTTTGTGCACGTTTTCCTTTTTCCTATTTTGTTGAGCTTTTTAGTCATATTTCTCTGGAATCCTTTGTCTCCAGTGGAAGCAGGTGTGTTGGAAAATAAACAGGCAGATAGACTAGCCAGCTCTGTATCACCCTGACTCTGGGCAAAGATAAGATGGACATACAATCAGGCACCATCGGAATTGAAACTCTTCACCAGCTGCTGCTGATAGGGATGGAGTGCTTATCAGAATGTCCCCAGTTCTGAAAGAGCTGATAGACTGGCAGGTGTTGCAATAACTGAAGATGGGCAGCCCATGGGTCACGCAGACATTGTCATTGCCCTTAGAGATATAGGAGGTTCTGAGGATTTTGGAAGCAATGTGTCCACATCCCTGCTAAAAATGTGAGAATTGGGAGTAAAGATCTGCACAGACTGCCCCTGTAGACATATCAGCTGACTGCCTCTGTAGACATATCAGCTGACTGCCTCTGTAGACATATCAGCTGACTGCCTCTGTAGACATATCAGCTGACTGTCTCTGTAGACATATCAGCTGTAGCTATCTGCGCCTGTGTCCGAACAAATGACATGTTCTTCCTTCATATGTACTCAGAGCTGCATGTTAATGGGGTCACTGCAGGAGGTAGGGAGGGAATTCACACTTTGTTGAGTGACCAGCCACCCTGCATAGATCAGGCTATTTATGGTAAAACCCGGTGCAACAGAGTTTTCTCTCACTTCTAAATTCCATTTTAGAGGAAAACAGCTTTCATTCTTCACCCAAATGTAGCTCCCAGTCTGCAACTTGTGATCAAGTCCCTCTATCTGATGATTCTCCAGCTCTATCTGATGATTCTCCAGCTCTATCTGATGATTCTCCAGCTCTATCTGATGATTATCCAGCTCTATCTGATGATTCTCCAGCTCTATCTGATGATTCTCCAGCTCTATCTGATGATTCTCCAGCTCTATCTGATGATTCTCCAGCTCTATCTGATGATTCTCCAGCTCTATCTGATGATTCTCCAGCTCTGAAGCAGTTTCTTCAGCTGGTCAGAAAATATTCACTGATCAGACTTGGTTCTCACAAAACGCCTTTAAATATATTGACTCACTGTGAATAATGAGTGGTTACTGTGATATTCCCACTGTAATCACTTCTAAAAAGTAGCAGATTAACTCTGGCATTTTATTTCCTGGTGCAAGCATGAGTCAAATAGAAATCATGTCAGTCAGACACTATGTTCAGTTCTCAACCCATGCATTCAACCCACGCATTCAACCCACGCATTCAAAGATGTATATTTAAAACTTACACATGCCCGGCTCAGTTTTTATGACAGGGGGTAGGCAAAAAAGCCACATTTCTCCCAGATTTACGATATCATGGAATCAATGGTGAAAAGTTGCGATATACATAGTACTGAGCCAAGGGTTAACAACTCATGGTTTCTAGATTTAAAAAAACACTGTAATAAAAACCCACAAATACACTCTGGTGCCCGGCCACAAGCACGTTTGAGATATGTACCACCAGGCTGAATCTACAAACACATTATAAATATTGTTTTGGCAAAAGTCACTTAAATAAAAGATGTCACAGCTACTGAGATCACAGATCTTAACTGGTCTGTTCAGGTAGAATGTCCACAACAGCAAGAATGTTCATGTAGAATGTCTGCTACAGCAAGAATGTTTATGTAGAATGTCCACTACAGCCAGAATGTTCATGTAGAATGTCCACTACAGCAAGAATTTTCATGCAGAATGTCCACTACAGCAAGAATTTTATGTAGAATGTCCACTACAGCCAGAATGTTCATGCAGAATGTCCACTACAGCTAGAATGTTCATGTAGAATGTCTGCTACAGCAAGAATGTTCATGTAGAATGTCCACTACAGCAAGAATTTTCATGCAGAATGTCCACTATAGCAAAAATTTTATGTAGAATGTCCACTACAGCCAGAATGTTCATGCAGAATGTCCACTACAGCTAGAATGTTCATCTAGAATGTCTGCTACAGCAAGAATGTTCATGTAGAATGTCTGCTACAGCAAGAATGTTCATGTAGAATGTCCACTATAGCAAGAATGTTCTTGTAGAATGTCCACTACAGCAAGAATTTTCATGTAGAATGTCCACTACAGCCAGAATTTTCATGTAGAATGTCCACTACAGCCAGAATTTTCATGTAGAATGTCCGCTACAGCAAAAATGTTCTTGTAGAATGTCCACTACAGCCAGAATTTTCATGTAGAATGTCCGCTACAGCAAAAATGTTCATGTAGAATGTCCACTACAGCCAGAATTTTCATGCAGAATGTCCACTACAGCAAAAATGTTCATGTAGAATGTCCACTACAGCCAGAATGTTCATGTAGAATGTCCACTATAGCAAGAATGTTCATGCAGAATGTCTACTATAGCAAGAATGTTCATGTAGAATGCCCACTACAGCCAGAATGTTCATGTAGAATGTCCACTACAGCTAGAATTTTCATGTAGAATGTCCACTACAGCCAGAATGTTCATGTAGAATGTCCACTACAGCTAGAATGTTCATGTAGAATGTCCACTACAGCAAAAATGTTCATGTAGAATGTCCACTACAGCCAGAATGTTCATGTAGAATGTCCACTATAGCAAGAATGTTCATGTAGAATATCCACCACAGCAAGAATGTTCATGTAGAATGTCCACTATAGCAAGAATGTTCATGTAGAATGCCCACTACAGCCAGAATGTTCATGTAGAATGTCCACTACAGCCAGAATGTTCATGTAGAATGTCCACTATAGCAAGAATAATCATGTAGAATGCCCACTACAGCCAGAATGTTCATGTAGAATGTCCACTACAGCTAGAATGTTCATGTAGAATGTCCACTGCAGCTAGAATGTTCATGTAGAATGTCCACTACAGCTAGAATGTTCATGTAGAATGTCCGCTACAGCCAAAATGTTCATGTAGAATGTCCACTACAGCCAAAATGTTCATGTAGAATGTCCACTACAGCCAGAATGTTCACGTAGAATGCCCACTACAGCCAGAATGTTCATGTAGAATGTCCACTAAAGCCAGAATGTTCATGTAGAATGTCCACTATAGCAAGAATGTTCATGTAGAATGCCCACTACAGCCAGAATGTTCACGTAGAATGTCCACTACAGCTAGAATGTTCATGTAGAATGTCCACTACAGCAAGAATTTTCATGTAGAATGTCCAGTACAGCCAGAATGTTCATGTAGAATGTCCACTACAGCTAGAATTTTCATGTAGAATGTCCAGTACAGCTAGAATGTTCATGTAGAATGTCCACTACAGCTAGAATGTTCATGTAGAATGTCCACTACAGCTAGAATGTACATGTAGAATGTCCACTACAGCTAGAATGTTTGTGTAGAATGTCCACTACAGCTAGAATGTTCATGTAGAATGTCCACTACAGCCAGAATGTTCATGTAGAATGTCCACTACAGCCAGAATGTTCATGTAGAATGTCCGCTACAGCAAGAATGTTCATGTAGAATGTCCACTACAGCTAGAATGTTCATGTAGAATGTCCACTACAGCTAGAATGTACATGTAGAATGTCCACTACAGCTAGAATGTTTGTGTAGAATGTCCACTACAGCTAGAATGTTCATGTAGAATGTCCACTACAGCAAGAATGTTCATGTAGAATGTCCGCTACAGCAAGAATGTTCATGTAGAATGTCCACTACAGCAAGAATGTTCATGAAATACACTGAAGGGTTTTGTATGGCTAATGATGTCTTTGTTGTAGGGGCACACTTTGAGATGTTCTCCTATGGTCAGGTGACTGTCTGTAAATCTCCAGGAATGAACAGGCTCAAAGCTGGTACTGAACATCCAGCGCTAGGAAAACAAAACAAATACAGATAAGTGTATAATCTAGCAAGCATACGTCCACCCAACCAAAACACACACACATGTCAATAAGTATGGGATCATCTCTTACCATGACTACCTAGAAAAGTGCACAAAAAGCACAGGAAGAGGATGCCAGGAAATGACAGCAGAAATATGTATTATCAATCTACAGCTGGTCATGCATTAGAAGAAACAGTATTACAGCCGTGCTGAGACACAGCTGGTCATGCATGAGAAGAAACAGTATTACAGCCGTGCTGAGACACAGCTGGTCATGCATGAGAAGAAACAGTATTACAGCCGTGCTGAGACACAGCTGGTCATGCATGAGAAGAAACAGTATTACAGCCGTGCTGAGACACAGCTGGTCATGCATGAGAAGAAACAGTATTACAGCCGTGCTGAGACACAGCTGGTCATGCATGAGAAGAAACAGTATTACCGCCGTGCTGAGACACAGCTGGTCATGCATGAGAAGAAACAGCATTACAGCCGGGCTGAGACACAGCTGGTCATGCATGAGAAGAAACAACATTACAGCCGTGCTGAGACACAGCTGGTCATGCATGAGAAGAAACAGTATTACAGCCGTGCTGAGACACAGCTGCTACTATCGATGTGAAACAACATGATGGCTTTTTCGTTCCAGGAGAAAATGAAGAACAATTATTGTCCTTTGTCTACATATTTTATCACAGAGTTTAAATTTCAAAAACCCAAAGTAAACTCAAGTGACTTTCCTGACTGAAAAATTATTATAACAAAAAATGAACAACTGAATAACCAGAACACAATTCTTAATTTTCTCAAATTTTTTTTTTTAAACTTTTTTTTTCCTTCTGAAAAAGAGCGCTAGAACAAGTTTGGAGAAATGTTGGCAGCTGAAGAAACAACAGCACCTAACAATTACAATACGATAAGAAAGTAAGAGGGATAAGGCAAGCTAATGCAACCCAAGAGAAATACTCAATGGTGAATTGGCCCTCGGCCCTACAATGATTCCAGAGAGATGTATATGAAAGAAATAGTCAATCTTAGGAAGGAAAAACAAAACTTCAGTTAAACTGATCATGAGCATGGAAGAAGACACACTAGAACTAGAAAAGTTATACATAGAACATGATAAAGGTTGCACCGAAATACAAGGTGACAGGAGTTGATAACTGATTTGCAGAAACCATCAAAGTAGTTGGAGAAATAGGAGTAGAATGGTTCAGATGTGTTTTCCAGGTTGCTTGATTAGACCAAGAAATAACAGATGATTGGAAAACAGGACCACTGTGGAAACCAAACGCAGTAAGAAATATGACACTGATGATATCGAGGAACATCACTACTGAACCAGAGCGCAGTAAGAAATATAACACTGATGATATCGAGGAACATCACTACTGAACCAGAGCGCAGTAAGAAATATAACACTGATGATATCGAGGAACATCACTACTGAACCAGAGCGCAGTAAGAAATATAACACTGATGATATCGATATAAACCTTTTGAAATATACTCAGGAGTAGGAGAGGGATGCGTACTGTCTTCCCTACTTTTCATTATGTACACTGGCAGTATATGTGAAAAAGCTGACAGTGAAGATGATGACGACCCCTCAGAATTTTTATATACATACAGATGACCAAGTATTAATAGCAGAAACAGAAAAGTCCCCAGAACCATCTCAATACCAAGTGTGAGAAACATAATATGAAAATAAACTGAGAAAAGACTGAGACAGTGGTGGTAGGTAGACAATCAGAAACCATGTCAAAGACAGTAAAGACACAGACATCAAATAAACAGATGACTTTAAACATCTAAGGTCAATTTTCACATCAGAAGGAAGAATGGATAAAGAAATCAACAATGTGCTAAAGAAAACGTCCTAGGACAACTAACACTATTTCTGACAAGCAGGAGTACACCTTTATCTACCAAGACTAATGTAATGACATTTTAGTCAACCTCATGCCACCAGTGTCAAATATGGTTAAAAAAAAAGTAAAGATCCCTTTTCACGCCTTTCGGCGCATCGGGCATATGGGCAGAGCGTCCCATATTTTTACAGACCATCAGCACTCTGTGAGTACTTAAAGTATTCAGTACAAAATCATAACAACAGAGATAAAATGTCTTAGAAAAGCTGGCGGAGTAAAAAGAAGAGAAAAAAATTAACAATAAAGACGAACAGGACACTGCAGGCTCAACTACCACATGCATAAAATAAAGATTGTACAGTCCCCAGTGTACCTGTCTGACAGGATCACAAACACCTGAGCACAAACACCTGAGCACATTCTGCAGACCTGCCCCTCTAACTACAACTTTAAAAAGACACCTGGCCCCAAGAGCAAAGCTATGGGGACCCATGAAGGACCTGCTGCTGACATGTGAGTTCATAGAGGCAAACAGCCTGATGGTCTGACCTGAGCATATGAAACCAAACGCAAAGAAGAAGAAGAAAAACAAAGAAATTAGAAGAAGACTTGGCCTGAAACCAGTCATACAATTCTTTAAAGAGCAATAGATAAGATAGTGTGGCCGTCTGATGGAAATGACTTGTTACCAACTGCTGAAATATAATGGGCACAAGCAAGGGGAGGATCAGGCATATGATGGAACAGTGGCATCAAGAACAGCCTTAAGGAAATGGATACCAACTTATACAACAGATTAGAAAGAGCACACAGAAGATTCTTACACCTCTCCCCAACACTTTGAGGAAGTAAAAAAAAAAGAGGATAAGTCAACATAAACTTGCCACTTCAAAGAGACTTCTTCTTCTCTTGTCCTGTGATGCCTTTCAGTGTCAGGTTTTGAAGAGACATCCAGTGCCAGCCTTGGAGTTGTGCTACACAGATGCTGGTTTTTAATGACCTGGGATACTCCATCTCTGCATGGCTTGCTTGGACAAGCTCTAGATCTGCTTCTGTTGGGTCTAGGACTCTGTGGTGCACTACATGGTGGTAGCTGTGAGTATCAGCTTGATCTTTCTGTCTTCTTACTGTTTCCATGACTAAAATTTCATCCCCTGCTGGCTTGTTGGACCTGTCAAAGTTCAAGGGAGTAATTAACCAGATGGATTGGATACCATCTAGCAAGCCAGAGACTTCTTAACCTTTGTTTTCTGGTATGCACAGCTTGGAGGTGGGATTAGCTTGGGTGCCCTAAGCGTCATTGGCTACTAATTGTTATTGTCACTCTTTCAAGGAAGAGCTAGACAACACTGACACTGCTGGTCAAGGAAGAGCTAGCCAACACTGACACTGCTGGTCAAGGAAGAGATAGCCAACACTGACACTGCTGGTCAAGGAAGAGATAGCCAACACTGACACTGCTGGTCAAGGAAGAGATAGCCAACACTGACACTGCTGGTCAAGGAAGAGCTAGCCAACACTGACACTGCTGGTCAAGGAAGAGATAGCCAACACTGACACTGCTGGTCAAGGAAGAGCTAACCAACACTGACACTGCTGGTCAAGGAAGAGCTAGCCAACACTGACACTGCTGGTCAAGGAAGAGCTAGCCAACACTGACACTGCTGGTCAAGGAAGAGATAGCCAACACTGACACTGCTGGTCAAGGAAGAGCTAGCCAACACTGACACTGCTGGTCAAGGAAGAGATAGCCAACACTGACACTGCTGGCTTGCAGTCTCTGGTCACGGACACCCTTCCAAGAGACAAGAACCTGTCACTCTCATACCAGATTTACCTTGCCAGTCACCTTCCAGCTGTTCCTGCCATTTACTGCAGACCTCTCCCTGTGCCAGTTAAGCAGCACAATACCACACTCATCCAAGAGACTGCAGCAGACATCCCGCAGTACATGGCAGGTCAGTGCCAGGTTGCATAGGCTGAAGCTGTCCAGTTGCCTGGCTGGAGAATCAATGTATAAGAGTTAGTTCTTTACAGCTCTCTATATTATATTAAAAATCAATACATATTTGTTTTGTTTATCTATCATCTTCTCCACTTCCTCTTTAACCGCTTCAAGGGTTGAAGGAGATACAAGGTTCTGGTGCCTGCTCTTTTAGCTGCATCAACCATAGACACATCATGTTGTTTCTAAATACTGAAACTCAGTGGCCTGTTTAATATCTTTGCAGTCTACTAGCATAATTAAGTTCTGCTTTTGTTACATTTTTATTTTAAGTTGCATATCCTTTACAGGACGTTGCAGAACCAACCCCAGAATTTTTTCAACTGTTGTGGTTTTTCTAGGCAAGTTTACATCTAGTAGATTGCCATTATTTCAAAGCATAAAGAGGAGCGTACGACAAGGATGTGAACTGTCACCTGATTTGTTTTCAATGTACAGTGAATATATAATGAGAGCTTTAATTGGTATGCCCGGAATTGTGGTTGGTGGGCACAATATTAACAATTTACGTTATTCTGATGACACAGTCTTGATAGCAATAAGTCAGAAAGAACTACAGGAAATGATAGACATTGTGGTGTTAGAAAGTGGAAGAATGGGCTCAGTTTGAATAATGGGAAGACAGAAGTAATGGTGGTATCAAAGAAACAAATTATTCCTAAGTGTGTAATAAAAGTTGATGGTGTTATTTTAGGACAAGTACAGAAATTTAAGTATCTGGGCACATGGATAATAGATGGAAGATGCATAACTGAGATAAGAAACAGAATAGGACAGGCAAAAACTGCATTTTATAAAATGAAAAACATCTCATGCAATATATCCTTGTCATTGAGAGTTAGAAAAAGAATTCTTGCTTGCTATACACATCCAGTTTTAACATATTGCTGTGAATCCTGGACAATCGGTAGGCAGGCCAAACAATTTTTTGAGGCCTCAGAGATGTGGTTTTACAGAAGAATGCTTAGAAGACCTTGGACAGCCAAAAAGAGCAACCAAGAGGTTTTGAAAGAGGCGGGAGCCTGAAGACAACTTATCACAGACATCAGAAGAAGACAGTCATCATTTTTCGGCCATGATATGAGAAGAGGGAAAATAGAACATGTTGTGACCACTGGAAAGATCTATGGAAGGAGAGATAGAGGAAGACAACGACAGAAGATGCTTGACAGTCTTGTTGCATGGTATGGAGGTGTATCGGCACACGAACTGATACATGCTGCAGGAGATCACAGATTATGGAGAGGCATGATCGCCCACCTGATGATGATGATGATGAGTTTGCCATTGTTTTCTGGACGGTCAGCTTATCGATACCACTGTTGAAACCAACGCAAGGCGCAAGGCCCACAGCTGGGATCGAACCCGGCTCCCCGGCATTACGAAGTGCGTTCACCACTCAGCCACAGATGCCGACTTTGTGACATTACTTTTGTCTATTCAGTATTCATTCTCCTGTTAGTTGTTTTACATTCTTCATTCATGGATGTGAGTTGTTGCCATTTCATGGCTATATCTGCTATCAAGGCCTGGTCATCAGCACTGATGTTCCTAATACACTCATTAGTTCTAAGCTTTGTTTCAAGAAATCAGAGTATATTCATTAGTTTTTCAGCTCTTCATATTATACCCTAAATTATACAGAAAAATGTATGCAAACATTTCAAACACACACCAGTGAAAACTTTCCTGATAACCTCTCATAGCCTTTAGGTCTCAAGGCATGGTGCCCACCTCATGTCCTAGAGGTTCCGGGTTCAATCCCCTGTAAGGGCTGGGATCTTTTAAAGTGGACGGACTTGTAGTTATTCCCCCTGGTCTCTGGGTAGTCAGATCGGACGCCTGTGTGCATTGTTGTGCACGTTAAAAAATCCTTAGCAGTTTCGAAACAAAAAGAGTAGCCTAACGGCGCTGACCCAGCAACATTTGGAGTTTAAAATCTACCCAAAGTATTTCAGTATCCTTGCCGGTGCTACAGAGCCTGTGCACTGTGACGAGCTTCTTTGGACTTAGACTTGAGTTAGAAGAACAGAGCATTTATGGGTGACTACCCGTGTGCCATTATGTTGATCTGTTCTTGAAACCTCAAAGCAACTAGTTACTTGAACAGCTGATTGCATTTCCTAGGAGCTCTGATATCAAACATCTACTGTCCTGCAACAACTGGTCACCTCATGTATACAATTATAGACAAGTGATGGGACCAGAAATATAAGCACTGAACAGACAGGGAGATATTTCACAGATTGCATCATCACTGACCTATCTCTTGACATGCCCCCCCCCCCCCCACCAGCACATCTTTAGACAAGTATACAAGGACCTATCTCTTGACATGCCCCCCCCCCCCCCACCAGCACATCTTTAGACAAGTATACAAGGACCTATCTCTTGACATGCCCCCCCCCCCCCCCCACCAGCACATCTTTAGACAAAGGACCTATCTCTTGACATGCCCCCCCCCCCCCACCAGCACATCTTTAGACAAGTATACAAGGACCTATCTCTTGACATGCCCCCCCCCCACCAGCACATCTTTAGACAAGTATACAAGGACCTATCTCTTGACATGCCCCCCCCCCACCAGCACATCTTTAGACAAAGGACCTATCTCTTGACATGCCCCCCCCCCCCCACCAGCACATCTTTAGACAAGTATACAAGGACCTATCTCTTTACATGCCCCCCCCCCCCCCACCAGCAGCACATCTTTAGACAAGGACCTATCTCTTGACATGCCCCCCCCTCCCCCCACCAGCACATCTTCAGACAAGTATACAAGGACTTATCTCTTGACATGCCTTTCCCCCCCCCCCCCACCAGCACATCTTTAGACAAGGACCTATCTCTTGACATGCCCCCCCCCCTCCCCCACCAGCACATCTTTAGACAAGTATACAAGGACTTATCTCTTGACATGCCTTTCCCCCACCAGCACATCTTTAGACAAAGGACCTATCTCTTGACATGCCCCCCCCCCCCCCACCAGCACATCTTTAGACAAGGACCTATCTCTTGACATGCCCCCCCCCCCACCAGCACATCTTTAGACAAGTATACAAGGACCTATTTCTTGACATGCCCCCCCCCCTCCCCTCAGTCTGACTGTGATATAATTCAACCACATTTGTCTCATTATCATTGTTTTTAAAGATCTCTTTCATTAAAAAAAGGTTCCCTGATTTAACAACATTTCTAAAAGTTCACAGAATTCAGGGACCATGTTTCTGCATCACACAATAATGACAACTAAAAGTAACATATGATCATGCTTAATTGTATTCATAATTGAGGTGTGGATATTGAATGTTTTTTTCCGGTTTATTAAATGTTATCTTTCTTCACTCTTCTGCTGTCACTATCTATTATTGTTCTAGGTAAAAGAAATGTTTCTGCCTATTAGCATTTCTACAATCATGTTTTTTCTTCTTGTTTTGATACTGTTTTGCTGATAATGAGTTTGTATGAACTGTTTATGTACATGAGTATGCTAAACTCAGAACTGAGACTGTGTACTTGCTTTCCCGTCTTCTTGAACATCCTGTTCTATTTTCAGTAGCCCAAGTTTTGTCTTCAGATATTCAGTTGTCTGCTGATTATCCACCATCAGTGAGCTCTGAATCTCCCCGTTTGTTTGAATATATTGTCTGTATCAGTATTCTGCGGGATGTCTGCTGCACAGGGGCAAATACAGAATCCTTCTTTGTGTCAACAGAATATTAGGAATCAAAATAACAGAATAAGGTTTAAAAAAATAAACAATATAGAGAAACAATTCCATGGAGATTACAAAAAAGACATTAACATCTGAATATTTGTATGGAATTCTACAATGTTTAAAATAATACTGCATTAAATGCAGCAAATAAGTATCTGTAGAAGAGTGGCTAAGTCATGTGATCATACCTATATGTCTTAGGACTTCAAATGGAAGATTTGTGAGATTGCGGTATATGTCGGTAATTTCTGCCAGTTCATCATCACTGTCTACCTCCACATCATACTGAAACAGCACCTTGGAATCCCAGTTGCTAGCTGTAAAAATAATGGGCTGAACTTTCATAAAGTTACTTCCAGAATGGCCATCTGGCAGCTCAGAGCTGAGGTTGTGAAGAGCTCCAGATGTTTCATCGTGTTGATGACCTAAACTGATGACTGTATTAGCAGTGTTCATGTTAGAATTGTTGGCATTGCCATCACTGTCAAGTTCCACTAAAAGTGGTATGTCTGCATCTTTGTCCAGCACAGCAAAGCTGACACTAGCAGCTGTGCTGACACTAGCAGCTGTGCCGACACTAGCAGCTGTGCCGACACTAGCAGCTGTGCCGACACTAGCAGTTGTGCTGACACTACTACCTGAGCCGACACTATCACCTGAGCCAACACTAGCAGCTGTGCTGACACTAGCAGCTGTGCCGACACTAGCGGCTGTGCCGACACTAGCGGTTGTGCTGACACTAGCAGCTGTGCCGACACTAGCAGCTGTGCCGACACTAGCAGCTGTGCCGACACTAGCAGTTGTGCTGACACTACTACCTGAGCCGACACTATCACCTGAGCCAACACTAGCAGCTGTGCTGACACTAGCAGCTGTGCCGACACTAGCGGCTGTGCCGACACTAGCGGTTGTGCTGACACTAGCGGTTGTGCTGACACTAGCGGTTGTGCCGACACTATCACCTGAGCCTACACTAGCAGCTGTGCTGACACTAGCAGCTGTGCTGACACTAGCAGCTGAGCCGACACTAGCAGCTGAGCCGACACTAGCAGCTGTGCTGACACTAGCAGCTGTGCCGACACTAGCAGCTGTGCCGACACTGGCAGCTGTGCCGACACTGGCAGCTGTGCTGGCACTAGCAGCTGTGCCGACACTAGCAGCTGTGCTGACACTAGCAGCTGAGCTGACACTAGCAGCTGTGCCGACACTAGCAGCTGTGCCGACACTAGCAGCTGTTGCGCCACTAGCAGCTGTGCCGCCACTAGCAGCTGTGCCACCACTAGCAGCTGTGCCGACACTAGCAGCTGTGCCGACACTAGCAGCTGTGCCGACACTATCACCTGAGCCGATACTAGCAGCTGTGCTGACACTAGCAGCTGTGCCGACACTAGCAGTTGTGCTGACACTATCACCTGAGCCGACACTATCACCTGAGCCGACACTAGCAGCTGTGCTGACACTAGCAGCTGTGCCGACACTAGCGGTTGTGCTGACACTAGCCGCTGTGCTGACACTAGCGGTTGTGCCGACACTATCACCTAAGCCGACACTAGCAGCTGTGCTGACACTAGCAGCTGTGCCGACACTAGCAGCTGTGCTGACACTAACAGCTGTTGCACCACTAGCAGCTGAGCCGACACTAGCAGCTGAGCCGACACTAGCAGCTGTGCTGACACTAGCAGCTGTGCCAACACTAGCAGCTGTGCCGACACTGGCAGCTGTGCCGACACTAGCAGCTGTGCCGACACTAGCAGTTGTGCTGACACTATCACCTGAGCCGACACTATCACCTGAGCCGACACTAGCAGCTGTGCTGACACTAGCAGCTGTGCTGACACTAGCGGCTGTGCCCACACTAGCGGTTGTGCTGACACTAGCCGCTGTGCTGACACTAGCGGTTGTGCCGACACTATCACCTGAGCTGACACTAGCAGCTGTGCTGACACTAGCAGCTGTGCCGACACTAGCAGCTGTGCCGACACTAACAGCTGTGCCGACACTAGCAGCTGAGCCGACACTAGCAGCTGTGCTGACACTAGCAGCTGTGCTGACACTAGCAGCTGTGCCGACACTGGCAGCTGTGCCGACACTGGCAGCTGTGCCGACACTAGCAGCTGTGCCGACACTAGCAGCTGTGCCGACACTAGCAGCTGTGCCGACACTAGCAGCTGTGCCGACACTAGCAGCTGTGCCGACACTAGCAGCTGTTGCGCCACTAGCAGCTGTGCCGACACTAGCAGCTGTGCAGACACTAGCAGCTGTGCCGACACTAGCAGCTGAGCCGCCACTAGCAGCTGTGCCGCCACTAGCAGCTGTGCCGCCACTGGCAGCTGTGCCGACACTGGCAGCTGTGCCAACACTGGCAGCTGTGCCGACACTGGCAGCTGTGCCGACACTGGCAGCTGTGCCGACACTGGCAGCTGTGCTGATACTATCCGACATGCCCCTGTGACAGTGACCCTGTGAGCAAGTTGGGTGTTTCTGAGCTGTCTGGTTGAATTCAACATCATGGCTCAATTTTGCCATGGGACTTAAGGCACTGTCTGTGGAATATTTTGAGCTGAGAAATGCATTATTATCACAGTGTAATCTTTCAGGTTGTATAATGTTGTGCAGACCAAAACTCTCTTGCAGCCAAGAATGATATATCACTGAGTCTGGCTGAAGAGGCTGCAGGCGCTGAAAGGAAAACGTGCAGCCAAGATTTGCCAAAGGACATCGTTGCTCGAGCCACCCAGATAAGCCTGTGTGAATATCCAAGTGAACATTCTGGAGAACAAAAAATTAAGTATTGCAAGTCGGTTTATTTGGCTTGCTATCATTGCAGGACTATATGTAGATTGCTTTACTTTATGTTGCATACATTTCAATGACCAATTACAGACAAATTACATTTAAAATACATGTTTAGTTACATACATTTCAAAATCCAACATTTGTGGCATCATGTCACGCAGCTGTGGTGGTCAAGTAACTACCATGACTGCCTGTCAGCCTAGAGGTTAAGGGCTCAAATCCCCATCAAGATGAAGATTGTTTTAAACCAACCAGGTTGACCCAGCCTAACATGGGAACAAGAAAGTGTTTTGGGAAGTAAAGGTGGCCAGCAGGATTGTAACCACATCATCCATCAAGTGCTGATGGGTCTACACATATGTGGCTAGCATCATATACACAATATACCTCATGATTTGAAAAGGTCATGTCATCCAGGGAAAGGTTATCTAATGTCATGTCATCCAGGGAAAGGTTATCTAATGTCATGTCATCCAGTGAAAGGTTATCTAATGTCATGTCATCCAGGGAAAGGTTATCTAATGTCATGTCATCCAGTGAAAGGTTATCTAATGTCATGTCATCCAGGGAAAGGTTATCTAATGTCATGTCATCCAGGGAAAGGTTATCTAATGTCATGTCATCCAGGGAAAGGTTATCTAATGTCATGTCATCCAGTGAAAGGTTATCTAATGTCATGCCATCCAGGGAAAGGTTATCTAATGTCATGTCATCCAGGGAAAGGTTATCTAATATCATGTCATCCAGTGAAAGGTTATCTAATGTCATGTCATCCAGTGAATGGTCATCTAATGTCATGTCATCCAGGGAAAGGTTATCTAAAGTCATGTCATCCAGTGAAAGGTTATCTAATGTCATGTCATCTAATGAACAGTTATCTAATGTCATGTCATCCAGGGAAAGGTTATCTAATGTCATGGCATCCAGTGAAAGGTTATCTAATGTCATGTCATCCAGTGAACGGTTATCTAATGTCATGTCATCCAGTGAAAGGTTATCTAATGTCATGTCATCCAGTGAAAGGTTATCTAATGTCATGTCATCCAGTGACAGGTTATCCAATGTCATGTTATGTTATGTTGCTACAATTGACGTCTTTGCACACTGGGCATCCCCATCATGCTCAGTCCTCCAATGCAGCAGTCACTCTAAGGAACCTCTACCAATTGTTCCCATAAGGAGTTTATAGTATCTCCTGTATTTACCTCGAAGACGGCTCAGGCACCCGGTCAAAATGGACGCTAGGCACAGGCACTGTTTGGAGCCGAAGCTAATTCTTTTGCTTCTGTCAGACGGTGGCCGTTACAATATTTACATTGTTTGCATCACTCTGTGCCTAATCTTGACGTCTACGGTGGCAGTTATCTGTTACCTGCAGTAGCTCTCCAGTGTGATGACAACCTTAGACAAGTCCTGCAGGTCTACTGGTGTAGCCGTCGATTCTTTTCTGTGACTGATCTCCTCTAATCCAATGTAATATTATCCAGTGTCCTTTTATCCACTAAAATTTTATCTAGTGTTAAATTATCCAGTACCATGTTATCAAGTGAATTGTTATCTAATGTCACATTATACAGTGTCACATATTCCAGTGTTACATTATATAGTGTCAAGTTATCAAGTGAAATGGTATCTAGTGTCATATTATCCAGTGTCATGGTATCTAGTGAAATTGTATTTTGTGTCATGTTATACACTGGTATGTTATGTAGTGTTACATTATCCAGAGTAAACTTATCTAGTGTCACATTATCTAGTGAAATGTTATCTAGTGACATGTTATCTAGTGGCATGTTATGTAGTGTCACATTATCTAGAGTCAACTTATCTAGTGTCACATTATCTAGTGAAATGTTAACTTGTGTCACGTTATCTAATGGCATGTTATCTAGTGTCACATTATCTAATGTCATGTTATCTAGTGACATGTTATCCAGTGTCACGTTATCTAATGTCACGTTATCTTGTAAAATGTTATCTAGTGTTGCATTATCTAGTGAAATGTTATCTAGTGTTGCGTTATCTAGTGTTGCGTTATCTAGTGAAATGTTATCTAGTGTCACATTATCTAGTGTCAGGTTTTACAGTGTCACGCTATCTAAGGAAATGTTAACCAGTGTCACGTTTTCTAGTGAAATATTATGTCATGTTATTTAGTGAAATGTTATTTAGTGCCATGTTATCCAGTGACACGTTATCTATTGTCATGTTGTTTAGTAAAATTTTATCTAGTTAAATGTTATCTGGTGCCACATTATCTAGTGTTATGTTTTCCAGTATCACGCTTTCTAGTGAAATATTATCTAGTGTCATGTTATCCAATGTCATGTTATCTGATGTCACAATATCCAGTGTCATGTTATCTAGTGATATGTTACATTGTGTCACATTATCTAAAGTCATGTTATCTAGTGAAATGTTATCCAGTGTCACGTCATCCAGTGAAAAGTTATCTAGTGCCACATTATCTAGTGTCACGTTATCTAGTGTCATGTTATCTAATGTCACAATATTTAGTGTCAAGTTTTCTAGTGTCACATTATCTAATTTCACGTTAACTAGTGTCACATTATCTTATGTCACAATATTTAGTGTCAAGTTTTCTAGTGAAATGTTACCTAGAGTCACCTTAACTAGTGCCACATTATCTAGTGAAATGTTATCTAGTGTCATGTTATCCATTTTCATGTTATCTGGTTTCACATCCTCTAGTGCCACAGAGGTAGAAATTTAGCAATTAATTCAAGATAATGCTCGCTCAGAGGATTTGATCATTTACACAGACGGTTCAGTGTCAAAAGGCAAAAGAAGTGCCTGGGGCTTCTTAGCAAAAGTTAATGGTCGAGGTTTGGTGCAGGAGAGCCTAACATATGATACCACAACATCCAGCTTAAGAATGGAGGTGGAGGCGGTCACTGCAGCTTTCCACTGGCCAGAGAACACGACACACACACACATTGTAATTGTAACTGATTCAGGAAGCATGCTGAGGAAGATCAGAACCGGTATGCTTCGTGCAGAGTGGCATGCTTCGCTGCGGAGGACATGAGTGAGGAGCATTGTCTGGATTTTTTCACCGGGTCAAGCCGGTGTGTTGAGAAATGAACAGGCGGACAGACTGGCCGGCTCTGCACAACTTGGTGGAATACTGCTACATGATAGGGCAGACGTGGTTAGTGCCTTGTGGGAGAGTGTGTACAATGCGGAGGAGCAGATGGATCACCACAGTCTGGTGAGATTGATGCAGTTGGGGGTGACGAGAGGTTCTGGCAGAAGCTCAAGGCTCAGAGGAAAGGCAAGACGGACGTTTAATCAGAAAGCTACTGGCACCATTAGTATTGGAACTCTTCGCTGGCTGCTGAAGTTGGGGATGGAGCGCTTATGGGAATGCCCGAGTGCTGTGATGCCGGTTCTTGAATCAAATCATATCAAATCAAATCACATCATCTAGTGTCATAATATCTAGTGAAATGTTATCTAGTGTCCCCATTATCTATATTCACATTATCTAGTGAAATGTTACCTAGTGTCAAACTGTCTAGTGAAATATTATCTAGCGTCACAATATCTTATGAAATGTTATCTAGTAAAATGTTATCTAGTGTCAAGTTATCTAGCGAAATGTTATCTAATGTCACGTTATCTAGCGAAATGTTATCTAATGTAATGTTTAATGTAATTTAGTGTCACACTATACAGTGTCACGTTGTCTAGTAAAAAAAGTCATTTAGTGTTATGTTATCTAATGTCACATTATCTAGTGTAATGTTATCTAATAATGTCAAGTTATCTAGTAAAATCTGATCTTCTTTTTCTTCTCTTCCACCTTTTACCTCAGTGAGGTGTTGGGGGGAGATGTGAGGATCGTTTGTGCACTGTTTTCAATGAATTGTACAAGTTTGTGTTCATTTCTGTTAGGTTGCTCCTGATGATATCGCACCATCTCTTGCATGATCCTCTTCTTGCGATGTTTTTATAATTCTCAGCATGGCTCTTCCGTTCTTAAGAGATTTATATTGGTTGACATAGGTATCTTTCTATGCGTCAAAAGCTGTGTTAATTGTCTCATAACCGGATTTGTTTTCACACCTTACGTTGATTTCTCTATCCAATCCTCCACAAGAGGTGAAAAATGATCCTAAATATTTAAATTTGCTTTTGTTTTATTTCTGTGATATTTACTTTAATATATAAGGTTTCTTCTTCTTCTTTTTTGTTGCATGTTGCGAGTCACTGAGAGCAGTTTGTTGCATCCATGCCGTCTTTAATATTCTATGGAGCCATCTAATGTTGCTTTCACCTGCTGCTTGGATTATTTCTGTTTGTAGTCTATCAGCTCCTGGTGACTGCTTAATGACTTTAACAACTTCAGTAATTAGTATATCAGGTTCTAGTGCTATTGATTTGTAGTCTTTGGCTGTTCTTTCCTGGCAATCTTTTCAGGCGTTAAAGAGCTCACTGAAGTATTCTCTCCATCTTTCAGCTATCTCTGGTGGGTCTATTAATGGTTTTCCTGTTTTATCGTTAACTACCACTATTGGGTTGTAGCTCTCATCTCTTGTTTGCATAGTTTTTACTACTTTAAAAAATGACCTTTGGCTGTTTTCTCGCTTTCTGCTAATGACTCTCCAAAACGTTCCCAGGATTCTTGTTTTGCTTTCTTGATCTTCTGGTTGGTGTCTCTTCATTGCAGTCTACAGCTTATATGATCATCATTTCTCTTCGATTTTATCCACTGTTTATATAAGCCTCTTTTCTTCTTAACTGCTTCTTTTACTTCCTCACACCACCAAGGCAAATATTTGTTATAGTTCCGTCTGCTTCATCTCTTTCTTTTTCCACAGAATTCTTCAGCAATACTAAGCAAGGTGATTTTATATTCACTCCATTCATCCTCAATATTCCCCACCACAGGCGACAGTTGTTTGTACACTGTCTCTACTTTCTTTTGTAACTGTTCCTTTACTCTTTTTTGTTTCAAACTTGCTATTCTGATGAGATCATAGTTTTTAGTTAATTTCTTCTTGTGTTTCTTGAAGACAAGATATTTTGCTGTCATCACAACTATTTTATACTCGGTGTCACAAAGACCATTAGAGATTGCTCTTGCATCAAGAAATAACAAATCAATTTGGCTCTTGATGGAGGTGTCATTCCATCTGTACCATGCATACCGTTGTGAATCTCTTTGGTCAAAAAATGAATTTGTGATAAAGAAACTGTGCTGGCTGCATAGTTCCAATACTCTTTGACCATTTCAATTCTGTCACTATCTGTAGCTGTATGGTGCTCCAGAAACTGTTTGTATTCTTTTCTGTTATTACCCACTCTCCCGTTGAAGTCTCCCATTACATATAGTATGTTGTTAATTTTAACTTTCTCTGTTCCTTCAGACAGTTCGTCAAAGAAATCATCTGTTTGCTCTTCTGTATAGTTATCATTCCACCGTGCATATTTCAAGTTTCTGTTTATTCTCCTCTGTTAACTGTCAACTTTAAAATTCTGTCTAAATGAAAACTCATATGTAGTTAGCTATGTCTGGATGCACCAGGAAACCCACTCCGTTCTTCAATGTTGTTCCTCCTGAGTATGTTAAAAGATAGTCTCTGTGTACTTTCTTATTTCCAATTCCCTTGCTTATTGTATCAGCTAGCCTCATTAATTTGATTTTTCTTCTCTCCATTATTTCAATAATCTTTTCTGTTTTATTTCCCAGCCCTGCAGAGTTAGTTCACTCTCTACAACACATTCAATAACCCTTCTCCCCACCCTCCCCCGTAATACCTTACTTCACGTTTACAGTCTACAATTCACTCTCTGTTACACATTAAGTAACCCTCCCCCCCCCCCCCAACCCTTTTTAAACTATACCCTACTTCACTTTTACATTCTACAATGAACTCTCTCCTACATATTAATCAATCCTTCTCTCTCTCTCTCTCTCAAAGAATACCCTACTTCACTGGTACATTCTACAATGAACTCTCTCCTACATATTAATCAATCCTTCTCTCTCTCTCTCCAGGACATGATTTTCT